ATCCCTACCTTATGGGACTAAGCAAAAAAACCTTGCTGAGATGCTCCCTCTGGGGTGGGGGTGGGGGGCTGAACAAGGCGGAGCAGAGCAGAAGAACCTTGCTAGGATGCTCCTTAAGTGGGACTGAGCATGGTCAGGAATAAAAAAGTTAACAACTAATCTCTGGAGCAGGAGGAGAGTGCTACATTTCTGCAAGGGCTTCCCCTTTGGCAGAGTGTTAGCAAAAGAAGAAACATCTTGGGGCAGAGAAGAAGCAGACAGCTCTGCTAGGATGTTCCCTTAAGGGAACAGAGCAGAACTCAGCTGTAGCAGCTGTCCAGGAGAAGAGCAGGATCCTATATCCTGCAGGGAGACCATCCCCCACCACACCCCAGCTTCAGGTAGCCTGGCTTCCCGATAGTCTGTCCTATTGGGCTCCAGCCTCTAGAGCTGTCCTAGTGCAACTCAACCCCTCCAGAGCCGTCCTATTGGGGCTCTAAGTGTATCCTGGCTTCCTGATAAGTCAGGGTATCTCTGCAACACTACAACCGTAACATATTCCCCAACACTTGCGATCTCCTGGAGAACAGTTAAACACATTATCAGGACTAAGAAGATCGTTCAACCAAGTAAAAATGTTTGCCACACAAGCCTGATGAACTGAGTTCAATTCCCGTAGCCCATGGTAGGAGAGAACCTAGAAGTTGTCTTCTGACCTCCATACATGTGCTGGGGCACAGGCGCTCACTCACATGCTCCGCTGCTCCCCTACCCTGTATGTATGTGCACACAAAAATATGCAATAAAATAAATAAAAACACTTAGAGTTTACTTCAAGGCGCTCCTAAAAGAGACCCTTCTAGTTCATCCCCATCTCTTCTTCTGGGCCCGCAGTGCCCTCAGCTAGACCATGACACCCAGCCAGGTGGCTGCACTTGCTTTTGTTACCCTTCTCTGCTCCCCCCACCCCCGGTCACTTCTTCCCCCAATTTCATCCATGCAGCCACCTGCCCCCTGGACCACTGGGCATCACAATGAGTTCTGATCCAGTGTCCCTTGACCTAGGTAGGCGCCATCGCCTTCTCTGCAAAAAATATACCGATACAATTACAGGCTTTTTTCTCCTGCTTCCCTGAGGACAGAACCCCAGTGCCACGGCCTGGAGAAGGTCCCTCACCTGGTCCCTACAACAAGTCCTCTTAAACCTTCTCAGATGCTAACGTGGGAAAAATTCAGGCAGCAACACTGAGAGGCAGGGGGATTGTTGTTCTACAGAGGACTGCTGAGGCCAAGAAGGCTCGGGGGGGGGGGGAACTTCCCCAAAGTCACACAGCACATGTGTGATCAAACCAGGGCACAGACATGTGAGCCCCAGAGCAGGCTCTGCAAGAAGAAGGATGCTGGAGTCAGCATGCCTGAGTTCAAATCACCCTGCAGAGCCATGACAGCAAAACAGAATGTTCTCACATAGAGGACCAGTGAAATGCTGAGAATAACTTCTGAGCGCTCAGCCCTTAAACTGGACATCTACGTCCCCCCTCAAAGGCTCAGGGAATACTGCAGAGAAAGGAACAGAAGGCATGTACGATATTAAAGAGGACAGGAAGGAGTGTCATGAAACACTGTCTTCTGGACATGACATGACTGTTGAACCTGTAAGCTCAGGGCCATAGTGGCTCCCTACACAAGGCTGAGCACACCAACATTCCAGCATGGATGGGGAGATGTTCACACAGCTTCACCCCTCCCCAAGGAGCTAGAGGCAGTTAATGGTTGCTGGGAGGGAGAAGAAGGGGGTCATATATACCTTGGTGTAGTTACTGGCAAGTTGCTATCACTCAGGTAAATAGCCCCATCCATATTCATACAGGCACATTATTAAATGTGGTGGGACACAGAGAGAGAGAGAGAGAGAGACAGAGAGAGAGAGAGAGAGAGAGAGAGAGAGAGAGAGAGAGNAGAGAGAGAGAGAGAGAGAGAGAGAGAGAGAGAGAGAGAGAGAGAGAGAGAGAGAGAGAGAGAGAGAGAGAGAATTAAAAGTAGGGAGACTTAGGAAGAGGAGATTCAGTTAGAGGAGGAAGGGATGAGGATGTAAAGAGGGATCAGGCTCCAAGTACATTCTATAGATGTATGTATGAAATTATAAAAGAAAAAATAAAAAAAATAGCAGGTCTATATACAAACCCACACAGCTATAGCCATCTGATATTTAGCAAAGATACCAAAAATACAAAGTGAAGAATAGGCAACGTCTTCAACAAATGATGCTGGAAAAACTGGATGATCACACACAGAGAAATGAAACTAGATCCCTATCTCTGGTCTTATACAAAAATCAGCTCCAAACAGATCAGACTTTAATATGAGACTTGAAACAATGAAAATGGCAGAGGGAAAAATCAGAGAACAGACTTCAAGTTTTGGCATAGGGGGGCTGGAGAGATAGATGGCTTAGTGGTTAAGAGCACTGGCTGCTCTTCTAGAAGAAATGGTTTCAGTGTCAAACTGGCTCACAACCATCTGTGACTCGGGTTCCAGGGGATCCAATACCCTCTTCTAGTCTCATGGAGCACACAAGTAGTGCACAGACACATGCAGGCAAAACACCCATACATTTAAAATAATTTGTATTAAAAACCAAGATGAGACATAGGCAAGGACTTTCTGAGTGGGATTCCGCTGTCGGGGAACGAGGCCAACAACAGGCAAAGGGGATCTCATGGAACTCAGAAGCTTCTGCACAGCACAAGAAACAGTTGAGTAGGAGGCAGCCTCAGAACAGGAGAAAACCTCTGTTAGCTGGACATCTGACAAAGGATTAATATGTAGACTACACAAAGAACTTAAAAATAAACAGAAATTAACCAACCCAACCAACAAATGAGATGACGAAGGTTAGTTCTCAGAAGATGAAGTACCAATAAACATACCCCCAAAAAACTGTTCAACATCACCAGTCACCCGAGAAATGCAAATCCAAACTCCACTGAGATTCCACCCCACCCCAGGGAGAACGGAGGTCACTAAGAAAACAACCACTCACAATAAAAGAGGGGAAGAAGGAAGTTGGGGTACTGTGCAAGCCTGGGGACATGAGTCTGGACACCTAGAACCCAGATAAAAAACTGGGAATGATCCCATATGCCACTTAACCTCAGTGCTGTGTGAAGTAGACAGGAGGATTGCTAGAGTTAGCTGGCTGCCAGCCTAGCTCTAGGTTCAGTGAGAAACCCTGTGTTGAAAGAGTAATTCAGAGGGTGACAGAGCAGGACACTAATGTCCTCCTTTGTCCTACACACACACACACACACAGAGAGAGAGAGAGAGAGAGAGAGAGAGAGAGAGACAGAGACAGAGACAGAGACAGAGAGAGACAGAGACACAGAGTGACAGAGAGATAGAGACAGACAGAGAGAACAACAATATTGTCAAGGGTATGGACAAACAGAATCCTGACACAAAGCTGGTTTGGGGGAGTGTAAACTAGTTCAAACCATGGTGGAAATCAGTTCCTCAAAAAACTAAAACTACCATACGACCCAGCTACCACTGCTGGTATTTACCCAAAGGACTCCATCAGCACGCCACAGAGATCCTTGCACACCCATGTCTACTGCATCACTTCCTAACAGCCCGAGAGACCTTCAACACAGGAGCAGATTTTAAAGGTTGTCCATATACACAGACACCGGACAGCTTTGAGCCACAAGGAACAAAGTGATGTCATTGGCAGGGAAAAGGATGCAAATGGAGACAATCACATTAAGTGAATTAAACCAGTGTCAGAATGGCAAGCATGTGTTATCTCATCTGTGGCTCATAGACTTTGTATAGTACCTAAAGTCACGGGTGTATACACGACACAAAAGCAGAAGTGAAAGTGCCCAAGGGACAAAGAAGGCTAACGAGGGGAAGAGCAAAGGAAGGGGGAAGAGCCGAGGGCGTGCTAGGCATTCAGTATTATATGTATGAAGTGTCTTTCTGGGACCTAGTACCATGAACACTGGAGACACAATGAAACTGTTTTCAAGTATGTATCCAACAGAAGACTCACCACCTCTCTAAGTGATGCCTCCTTCACAGAGCCCCAGGGAGCATCAAAGGGAAGCAGAGCAGGGGGAGCCCAGGTCAATGTGGGTTGTTTTCCTATTTACATAATTATGATTAATTCTGTCATTCTGAACCTTCACCGTGTGCTATGGCTTGAAGGTAAGAGGCCCCCACATGTGTGCACAAGCACGTGCACGCATGTGCACAACACACATTTGGTTGCTAGTTGGTGGTGCTGTTTTGGGAGGTTGTGGAATCTCAGAAGGTGGGAACCTAGCCAGAGCAAGTGTGTCATTGGAGTGTGGACCCGGAGACTTACAACCCTGCCCTCCCTCCAAGAGTTCTCAGCTTCCTGAGTACTCCAGGGTATAAGCGGTTATACCCCGGGGTATAAGTTACCTTACACGCCTGTCATTGAGCAGCAGCTCCTTGCCTTCCCCATGATGGATTGCAGCCTCTCAAACCAGGGGCCAAAGTCAGTCCATCCTCCCGTGAGTTGTTCCTGTGAGGTCTGCAGTCACGGAAAGGAGAAGTAGCCAATACCGTGGCAATAATGCCTAGAAGCATAAACATTCAGGAGCCCCAGGTATCCTGCTCATTCAGATGTGCCACTACCAGGTGGCAGTAGGGGTCTGATCTCAGCCAAGGACTCACCCCAGTCAGGCTGGCCCTGGGCAAGCTCGTCTCAGCTGTGCCCAGGCAGATGAACACACCTCCCAGAGCACACAGGCAGCCAGCCGGCCACCAGGGTGTGGCTCTCTGCCACACCTGCAGAAGGCAGCCCTCTCTGCACAGACTTTCCCCCATTTAAAGGAGCAGGTGCTTTAGGAAAGCCTTGAAGAGGTTCAAAGGCTAAACAGTCACACAGTGATCACCGGAGTCCCTGAAGCTCCCGCCCTCTCCGAAGCAGATGTGGCCTCCAGCGCACACGCGCACACACACACACGATGGTAGTGTCAAAGTTTGTGGACTGACCACAGAATCACTTTTAGAACGCCTTAACAAGGGGCTGGAGAAATGGCTCAGTGACTGAGAGCACCGGCTGTTCTTCCAGAGGTCCTGAGTTCAATTCCCAGTAACCACAAGGTGGCTCACAAACATCTGTAATGAGATCTGACTCACAGGCATACATGTAGACAGAACACTGTATACATAATAAATAAAATATTTTTACAAAAAGGCTTAACAAAATGGAGTCAGCCTTGTCTGGGACCTCATGCACACATACCTCATCAAATACATAAGACCTCACCAAAAAGAAAAAGAAAAAAAAACTATAACTAAAGACTCTCACAGCTAAGGCCATGTCTATGAGGGCATCTTTGCAGTAGGAGACAGTCCAAATACAGCCAACCTGCAGCCATGATCCTCTCCCAGCAACACCAGGGTACAAATCCCTGCCTATGGGAAGCCTCAAGAAACAACGATTTTATCTGCAAAGTAACCTGCATGTACTTCTCCCTTCTAGTACTTTCCCCAGCTGCCCCTAAGATTAATCAGAGCACCCATATCTCAGCTCCCAACCCTGTGCAGAGTCCAGGTTCCACTCAGGTTCTTAGGAGTACACCTCTGCCTCTCTGCTGTTGCTTTAGGCTGGCACTAAAGTCCTGGAGGTGAACAAGGTGCACCGTGCCCTAGAGTGTCAGCAGAGACCCAGTGGCACCCTATCACTACAAGGTCTGAACTTGACCTTAACCACAACAGGGGCCACTCAGAGGTGTCTGCCTGGAAAGAAAGATCCTTTATACTAGAGCCATGGCTCCTGGGCCAACCTGGAGGTCTGCCTGGAAGGCAGCTTCTGGGGGGTGGAAGACAGGGAGAAGGCTGCGTCTTTGGTACAGTAAGAAGCTGTCTGAGCCGAGGCACATATGTGAACAGTTTAGGTCAAAGAAGACAAGACCTACAGCCCAAGCAGAGAACCCCTGAAGTGTACGAAGCAGAGAATTCCTGAAGCGCTGTTAATGTGTCAGCATCTTCATCTGGTTTCCAAGCTCTGTGTCCCCTTGCCGGCTAACTCTCTGCAGAGTGGGGAAGCAGAGCTGTGTCCCATCGCCTTGACTCACTCAGCAGGGGCAGCAAGGCCAGGGACTACCAGTTCCCACAATGGAGAAACTGAGGCTCACTGATATGAGATGACTCTAGAACGATCCATGAGCCCAGGCCTGCCAAGCAGCAGGGCTCTTTTCCCGCTGTCCCCAATGGATAAGCCTGGAAGCAATCTTGAGCTCTATCAAGGCCAGAAAGAACTGGCACCTATTGTAAAATAATCAGTGTGACAAGGGCCTGTTGTCATGAAGACTGGTCCTACCTTAGGGTCAGAAACTCAGTCAGCACTGTGAAACCACACAGGAACTTTGGGTGGGAAAGAAATAGGCAGGTATCAAACCATGTCACCAAGCAGAAAAATATTTAGGAAACACTGCTGTAGATGAACAGGTTACAGGGTTAGGACTTTAAGAAAGGCAATCTGGCCCACTCCTTACCACAGAGATGGAAAGGAAGTCAATGGGAATGTATCTAAGCCCTAAGTATGAGCAGGGTCTAAATACAGACCGCCTACCCCCACCCTTCCCTTTTCACTCCCATCTCACTCACTCGTGGGTCATGGCTGCCTCAGCGAGCTCTTGGTGTCTGCCAACACCGACCCAGAGCCTCAAAACCCCGGGGCTTCCCTAGACAGAGCAGAACGCAGGAGAAAGAGCCAAGACCTCACTACAGACCTTGGGTCGAGGTCCAGCTCCAGTTCTTACTGTCCTGTGGCCTATATCAAGTATATTGTCTCTTAGTCCTGGCGCTATTGGGTGGGTGAAGGAATTAGCCCTAAGCAAAGCCACCCTCGCAGGACAGAATGACGCAGGGAACACTCATCCCCACACCAGCGACCCCTGCCTGGGGCCTCCAGAGCCACTACCTACGTCAGGGCCAGGACCTCTGGGCCACCAGGGTGCCCGGCTCCACCTGCCTTCGGACCCTGCTCTCTGCACCCTGCCGCCCATTTGCTTCCTGTACCCTGCCAAGTCACCCAACCGCAGGCAATTTTAAAAAGAAAAGGAAGTCAATGAACTCTACAGTCCTAACACACTAACTTTACTTCTGGTACATACAGCCTGACTTCCGGTCTGACTTTTAAAGTCAGAAGTCCCGCTCTTAAGCCCGCCTTTCTGGGCCAAGCCCCTTCCCTGCTCTCTGTTCCCACCCTTCCTGAAAAGAAAAAAAAAATCCCATGAGTGACTCATTTGGTACGTACACACAATGAATAAATAAATAGATTTTTAAAAAGTCCATCCCTTAATGTTTTGTAGCATGTCTCATTGTTTCAGCTGTAACACCTGGCTACCTTACCTTCAGCAAAGCAGCCTTTCCTGTCAGAGTCTAGTCACCTGTGCATGGGAACTCCACTGACCTGAGTCTCACCCAAAGCTAACTCACACCAAGTCACTTCCAATTACAAGAGCAGTCACGGCTGTCTCCACCTCCTCCCGGGCTGGGCTGGGACCACTGAAACCATCCCCTGACTATCCCTTCTCTCCAGGACAGATTCTGCTCCAAAGCTCACAAATAAGGAACCGCCAGGAAGCCTTGGGGGTGGAAGGCAGGGTTTAAGAAGGCCAAGTTCTGAGACAATGGGGATGTCCTATCGGGAACTCACCAAGGCCAGCTGGCCTGGGTCTGAAAAAGCCTGGGTTAAAACCAGTCTCGCTGAACATAGCGGACAATGAGGACTACTGAGACCTCAAGAACAATGGCAATGGGTTTTTGATCCTACTGTACCTATTGGTTTCATGGGAGCCTAGGCAGTTTGGATGCTCACCTTACTAGACCTGGATGGAGGTGGGTGGTCCTTGGACTTCCCACAGGGCAGGGAACCCTGATTGCTCTTTGGGCTGACGAGGGAGGGGGACTTGATTGGGGGAGGGGGAGGGAAAGGGGAGGCAGTGGTGGGGAAGAGACAAAAATCTTTAATAAATAAATAAAAAAGAAAAAAAAAGAAGGCCAAGTTCACCTTGGTGGCACAGCCTGTGCTCAGGAAACAATAGAACCAGCAGGTGTGTTCAGAGAGGAAAACACAACTCAAAGAGGTGATTCTCAACCCTTTTACCCTTTGTCATGAAATAGAATCTTACGCTGCTCTTCCCTGGGGTGATCTGGTCTCCCCGCCACCTTCCTCAGACCCACCTGAAAGCACAAGGGTGTTCAGAGAGAAGCCGGGCTCTCTTAGTCCAGGCCCCAGACTCATGAGCCCTCCCCGGTTCAATGACTGTTACATCCAGGTGCCTTACTTCCTCTGGGCGTGGTGGTTGAGAACCTGATGGAGGAAGCTATGATACCTACTCCAGGGAGCACTCAGTAAATGTAGAAGCCGGTGGGTGCAAGGCAGAAGGAGGACTGAACTCCAGAAGGGGACCTGGCCCCAGCTTCACCATGGCCTGCCTCTTCCACATTCCTGACAGCCCAACAGGTACTACAGACTAGACAGAGCAGCATGTGTGCACATGCACACACACACACACAACACACACACCAAGAAACCTGGTCTCTCAATCCCCATACCCAACCACCTCATCTGTAAAAGGAGATCTGTCTATTGTGCCGGACAGCATGTGAGGAGGTAGCTCAAGACGGCTCCAAGCCAGGCTATACGTATCTCAGGACACCCTGCTTCCAGACTCAGGAGCAGCAGCTAGGACGAGACTGTACCAGGCAGGGTGCAAGCACTCCTCAGGGTTGGACAGCTAAGGCCCAAAGAGACAAAGCACCTTCTCTAGACATAAAGCTTTAAGGAAGTCAGGAAGGAAAGCCCAGCCAATTCCCAGCTGCGGAGAGAGCTGCCTCTGTTTTATTTCCCGCCCTTAGAGCAGCATGGTACTGCTCATACTCACGGAAGATGCCAAGAACACACTTAGAGATGAGCAACCAGGTTCCTTCCTGCACATGCAGCCACAGCCTCCAAGAACAAAGCACACTGACAAAACCAACTACCACCAAGGCATCCCATAAAACAATAATTTCAAAACGTTCTGGCTGATACTGTGCTTCCAATAGCATCAGACATTTCAATTTCCCGCTACAAACACAATTTCTGGGAGAAAAAAAAAAAACCTGCTACTCTGAATACGTTAACATATGCAGAAACCAGACCCGATTGTCACTAGAGCGAGAGGTGTTTATCGGCACTCAGGAGAGCACAGCCACAGCCATGCTTTCCTCCCAACACTCTGCACACACGGACTCCTCTTTGTCCTTGAGCTTCTTTGTATGATCTTACCAGGTGCTGAAAAGGGCAGGCGCTTTCAGGGGGGGGGGGGAAACAGTGATATATATTCTGCAAGAATAACTAAGCATTATGGCAGAATCTATACCCTCTTCTCTCTAGACAGAATCCAATACAAATGAAGGAATATGTACCAAGCAATAACAGAGTCCACTTCTGCAGCTTTTGCTGAGTGCCTGAACTGTTCCAAAGCTTTTAAGCAATTACTGCTCTGAAACCGGTGACCCAGCTCTGACCACACCAAAATGAGCGTCTGGCCTGGGGAGATGACTCAACAGATACAGCACTTACTGATTAGCATGAGGCCTGGAATTCAGATCTCCAGAACCACATCAAAGGGGTCGGTATGAGGGTCCTCCTGTAATCCCTGCA